ATTTTTCAATGGGACATGGCACTGAAAGATCCACTCCTTATCATCAAGTAGATCTTCACACATAATCGGCCCACCAAAACTATCACAACTCCACAGGAAATCATGGCTGAACTCATTAAAAGGGCTAGAGTCCGTCTCTGCACTCTTGCAGGGTGTGAGTTCACATGCATTTTCCTTCCATTGACAACCAGGGATTTGGACCCTTTACTCCAAACCAGTGAGAGCCTTCAGTTCGCTCCTGATAGCTATTCAGGCCAAATTTCTATATGCCCACCTGGCCACAAATTATTTAAATCCACATTTAATTTGGTCCCCAAATTATTACTTAGCAAAACACCACTCAAGGCTCTGACAGTTTTTACAGACGGCTTGGGGAAATCCCACAAGTCAGTCATGACTTGGAAGGACCCCAGGACACAGAAGTGGGAGTCTGATGTCCAAGTGGTTGAGGGATCACCACAGACTGCTGAATTAGCAGCCATCATCAGAACTTTTGAGGAATTTCCAGAACCTTTCAATTTGATAACTGATACGGCTTATGTGGCTGGAATAGCTATGAGAGCAGATCATGCCTTACTAAAAGAAGTCTCTAACCCAAATTTGTACAAATTGCTTTCTGAATTAATCTATCTCATCTCCCACAGAAAGCAACCATACTATATCATGCATGTGAGGTCACACAGTGACCTCCCAGGTGCCATAGTGAAGGATAACAAGAGGGTGGACACCTTAGCCAAGCCTGCTGGAGCTGCCATAGTCCCGGACATTTTTGCCCAAGCAAAACTGTCCCACCAATTTTACCATCAGAACGTCCCTGCCCTAATGAGGATGTTCAAGTTACCCAGGGATCAGGCTAGGGCAATCGTTGCCACCTGTCCCAATTGTCAATCTTTTCAAATCCCAGCCATGAATTCTAGGGTTAACTCCCGAGGACTCAACAGCTGCCAAATTTGGCAGACTGATGCTACTCACGTCCCATCCTTCGGGAGAGTTAAATATGTTCATGTTTCGGTGGACACCTTTTCAGGTGCAGTGTTTGCCTCAGCCCATGCAGGAGAAAATGCCAAGCATACCATCTGACATTTTCTCCTTGTGTTTGCTACCCTGGGAGTCCCACAACAAATAAAAACAGATAATGGACCCACTTACACCTCTCACAAGTTGAGAGATTTCTTCAGCCAGTGGGGCATGAGACACATCATGGGCATACCTCACTCTCCAACAGGGCAATCAATAGTGGAAAGGACACACCAAAACCTGAAAAGGCCCCATATCTTCAACTATTACTTCTCCCCCTCTGTTCCAGCACTTCACAGGATAACAACAACTACTTCACTATTTGCTCAAAATCCACACTTTGAGCACTCCATTTCTCTCAATATACTCTGTCATGAATTAAAGGAGCAGAGATCATCCCTCCCACTGAGAGGCTCTGTAAGGCTCTGTACATCATGGATTTTTTAAATTGCTCACCTACAGAGCCCGACCCCCCGGTAATATAGCACTTCTCTAATTCAACCCATGCCAAACTCACCGAGAAGCCGCCAGTGCTGATCAAGGATCCTGAGTCACAGCAGACATAAGGACCATTCCCATTGATTACCTGGGGGAGGGGGTATGCTTATGTGTCCACACCATCAGGTCCTAAGTGGCTCCCAGGGAAAAATATAAAACCATACCTAGGCCCTGCAAACCCTGCACCACACACAGACATCTCAACATCTCCTGAGACCCACACAGGTTCTCAAAAACAACAAGCCACCACTGCCTGTAGATGGAGACGCTGGTGAAAGAAGTCGCCACAGAGAACCGCTCCAATGGCTACCAGATCTCAAACGACATCAAGTTCGACACCACCTCACAGCCAAGACAAGGCTGGATAAGCAGAGTCCCTGAAACTCCCTTCCCCTCTCCCTTCCTGTTCCCTATCCCCCTTTATCCTCAGATACCCACCCTTTTATATAATTGAAATGCACCTTAATGCTGCTGATGATAGTGTCTGGTCATGCGCCCCCTCCACGCAAAATGACCCCACCAGCAATCAACTACCTCATCCCCAACACCCATTCCTCTTATATAGTTGGGGTTTTTTTAAGAAAAGAGGGGAGACAAGAGATGAAAGGGGAAAAGAAAAATAACCCCCCTCCAAAATCAGAATTAATCTTTTATATTCTGTTCTAGAATATGGAGAGCAAAACCATCCTCAAGTTCCTGACCTTCTGGATGTTCCTGAAAACATCAGCTGTGGATGCCTGGCTAGTAGCACAGCCCCAGGAGAATGTGTGGATCACCCTCGCAAAGACCCTCAAGCAAGACCACATGTGCTTGTCCATGAGCAGCACCACCAATCCTCTGTCATCATGCCTGCTAGGGGTTCCTTTGAAGCCCCATGAATATCCTTTCACAGGGAAAGAACCCAACCCAGTAGACACCTGGGACGAGAGAACAAGGATCCTACCCCATGCAAAAATTAGAGCTTTTGGGGTCCTCCAAGGCCATATATTGTGTGAATTTTGACTACTGCCCCATAGGCAAGGCATGGCATGCCTCCAAATATTACAGTGCAATCAAAACAAAGAAAAATGTGACACCTCATAGCAAAATTTACAATCAATTTAAATGGTGTAATTATACCAGTAGCATACAGTCCACCTCCTCTCGCCGTCCCAGAGTGTTAGCCTGGGGAATGTTCTTGATCTGTGGGGATAGAGTGTGGGCAGGACTCCCTTCCCGACTCCAGGGAGGTTCTTGCACACTTGGACAGCTTACCATCCTCACTCCAAACTCCACCTTAATTTACGGTTGGCAGAAAAAGAATGAATTGGCCCACCAGAAGAGAGAACTTACTCAATTAGATGAAAAATTGCGATAGCCAAATTAAAGATTGGTCTTATACAAAGAGGGTGGTAATGTCAGTTTTTTTACCTTAGGTAGCTACTGCTAAAGCCCTCGGTGAGCTTTCTCACCTGTAGCGTTTGCTTGTTTAGCAGGCCAATTTAACCTCTTCTGTGCTGAGTGACCTTTTGGCTGCTGAAAAGACGGTTAGGCATGCAACACTCCAAAACTGCGCGGCAATAGACTTCTTGCTCCTTGCCCATGGACACAGCTGCGAGGAATTCGATGGGTTGTGCTGCTTCAACCTGTCCAACCACGGAGAGAGCATCCACGCATCCAGAAGATCAGCAACATGGTCCTGGAACTCAAAAGAGAGAAAGAGCCCGGATGGTTTGAGGGCCTTTTTGGAAGTTGGGGACTCAAAGGGTGAGCTTCCTCCCTCTTAAAGAACATTCTTTGGATTTTTTTGATTGTCATTATTTTTCCCAGCATGTTCTGTTGTTGTAAAAGGTTGTTAGCAAGGTCTCTGGGAGATGCATTTTTGTTAAATAAAGAAGGGGGAGTTGTGTCAGCTGAGTGGTCGGCCAACAGAGGAGTGCTGGTGATCCCCTAGAGGGCTTTATCATAGGCCAGGCACTTGCCCTCACAGTGAGAGAAGTGTCTCTCCCAGAAACCCTTCCGTGTTACCTGTTAAACAGTTGTACCCCATTGGTGTTTTTCCCTGACATTCCACCCTGCTACTTGTATCCAAGTTTCTCTCGCCCCTCTCTTTCCCAATATAAACCCTGCTTTTTCCCCAGTTGAGTGGAGCTTCTGTGCTAGCCCCCTTTGCAGAGGGCCCTGCACTAATCATGGCTGATTTCTCTGTGTAATCACTGGCCAGAACTCTAGTCCTTTTTCTCCCTGCACCGCCTGGGAAGGAGCGGCTGCAGAGCCGCTAATCACTCACCAGGCCAGAAGAGGGACGTGCCTGTGCCACTGAGAGCCATCCTCCTCAGGATGCTTTTTCAGGAAGGTTGTGGCACCCTTGACATCCACCCCGCCGCAGCAGTGCACTATTGCTGTGATTTAAACTGAAATCCCTTTGTGTCCTTTTGCACTGAGATCAAACAAATCTCTCACGACTTCCACCTGTGTTAGCGGATCATGGCAGAGCCCTCAGCAAACCAGCCAGCACCACATGGGCAGGAGGACACAGATGGCGCTTCCTGGCTGGGACAGGGCTTGTGCCTTCAGCAAAATCACCAAAAGCCAAGGGTTTCTGGCCATTTTCTCTGCACCACTACACGTCTGGACAGTTTGCTGAGCACCACCAACCTCTTCCCCCTCTTCCCCTGTCGCTGCCCGCTCGGCCCTTCACGCCCCGGCTAGCTTGTGCCAAGCATCGGCAGCAGGAGTGGGGAACCAGGTGAGCACTGTGTGGCTCGACCTGGAACCTCTAGAGCTCCTTTGGGCTTGGGCTCTATAGTATGCAGGGCAACACGAGGTGCAGTAAAGGGAGAGAGAGTGCTTGGAGTCCTCCAATTTCCCAAGAACAAGTTTATTCTAGCAGGTGCAGGGCGAAGGCGATGAGGGACAGGGCTGGGATCTCGAGGAGAAAGTCCGAGCCGAGACCCTGGGCACCTCTGTGCGCCAGGTTTTAAAGCCCGTGGGCGGCTCATACAACAACCAATAATATTGCAGCAGGGGAGGTGTTGTGGGAAGGGGTTACAATACACAAATCCAATGGTAGGGACTTGGGGGAGGGAGGATAGCTATACAACCAATAGGGCATCGAGCAAGGGATGATGAGCAGGGAAGGAACCAGAACAAAAGGTGTGGTGTACATAGATTGATAGGGCTTGGGGGTAGGACCAAAGTGATGGATGGGGAACAATCTGGAAAGAGGGGAGAGGTTTACAATGACAGGCAACTGGGAACAAACCATATTGGGATAGTGGGGAGTAACTGGGGCAAACCAACTCTAAACTCAACGAAGGTGAACAAACATACTTAATGAAGGTAAACTAACAGGCGGCAACATTCCCCTATGTCCTGTGCACCATGGGCAGCAAAAGAAAGCTCCTGGGAGTCTGTCTAATATAACATATCCTATATTTATATACTAAAGAAACACAAAAAGAAGAGAAGAAAATCCTGAAGAAAAAAAAGCTCTGCTGGCTCAGGTGGCCCCAGCAGACAGAGCCTCTCAGATCAGCTCTCTGCAGAGCTCCAGCAGCGCAGCCAGCCGAGGCCCGACAGACGAGGCCGTGACCTCCATGCCCTGCGGAGCTGATCTCGCAGCCTCTGGAATGTGGAGATCGGAGCGTGCTCTCCTGCCCTGAGAAGGCACAATTTCTGAAGTGCCAGGCTTCCAACCTCCAGGCTGCTGTCTTCTGTTGTGTCTTCAAGGGCTGGAAGAGAGACAAACAGAGCCACGGTCAGATCCCAGACATGTGGGGGCCCACCGAGAGCCCCCTGCCTGGGTCATCCCAGCCGGCTCTTGCCATGGCCAGCACGGAGCAGGGACCAAGGGGATCAGCACAAAGCTGCTGGCCACAAATGCCCCACGTACCCCTGAAATCTCCGTGGGCTCAGCTCACACCGTCCCACATCTGCACAGGGAGCAGAGCCCTCCACAGCCAGGCCAGGGCTTGCAGCTCCCCCCAACAGCCCCGCTGACAGCCCGCTGCCCTCACTCACCCTCACAGATGAGCTGCAGCTCTTCCTTCTTCCCCCTCAGCTGCTCCCCGGCCATCCCTGAGAACACAGAGCCTGTCAGGGTCCCAGCAGCACAGCTCCCTGCCAGCGGCGCTGCCAGCCCTGTGGCCACACGGCCTCCTGCCCCGGCATGCCTCAGCCCGGGCCCTTGCCGCATCCTGACTCAGCCCAAGGGCACGGCTGCCAGAGGCCGGCAGCAGCAGCCCCGAGGGCAGGCGGGGCTCCAGGGCGCCGGGTCCGGGTGCCGCTGCCGGGGCAGCAGCCGGGGCCGGGGCCGAGCTGCGGCGGGGCGGGGAGGGAGCCCAGGCTCGGGACTCACCGATGACCCTGATGGCCGCCGCTCGCAGGGTCTCCTGTGGGTCCTGCAGGTACTGCAGGGCCCGGCGCAGGTGCTCGGCCAAGGGGATCCTGTGGTCGGCCAGCTGGAGAGAGCGGCAGGAGGGAAGGGTTGGCGCGGGCTCTGCCCCTCGGCCGGGCGCTGCTGCCTGCGGCCAGTCCCGGCCTCCCGTGCCCGGCCAGCCCTGAGAAGCCGTGCGGCCCCCGGGTGCAGCAGTGGGCAGGGGCACAGCTGCCAGCCCCACACACTGAGCACCGGGGCCAGGGGGCTTCTCTAGCCTTNCTGGGGTGGCACACTGAGGGCTGGGGTGGCACACTCAGGGCTGGGGTGGCGCACTCAGGGCTGGGGTGGCACACTCAGGGCTGGGGTGGCACACTCAGGGCTGGGGTGGCACACTCAGGGCTGGGGTGGCACACTGAGGGCTGGGGTGGCACACTCAGGGCTGGGGTGGCACACTCAGGGCTGGGGTGGCACACTCAGGGCTGGGGTGGCACGGCGGGGACGCGGCGCTGAGCGCTGCAGGAACCTCCCCAGGAGCACGCTGGCGGGGATGGGAAGGTTTCCCGTCAGGGCTATGCAGGTGGGCAGCACAGATAATGGGGACGGGGGGGTGCGCCGGCTGTGATTGCTGCGCTCCCCAGGCCTCCCCGCTTGACTTGAGCTCGTTCGGGCTGTGCTTTGATTGCCGAGTGTCTTGGGCAGTGCAGGGAGGTTGGAAACACGCAGTACCGATAAGGGTGGTTAGCTTTGCAGAGCCCAGAGGCTGCCTTTGCACAGGGTCTGGCTCTGGAAATGTTTTTATGGAGTTTCCTAAAATCTAGGGTATGGACTTGTAAAACAGCCTGTGCTTCTGTGCATGAGCTGGGGTTAGACCTGTTGTGTAGAAGTGTTTTGAGATGTCCCACATAGGTACTTACATAGGCATCACACACACCTTTCTTCTCTGTGTGTCAACCTCTGAATCCCGTCAAGTATGGCTTTTTTTCTTTCTGACAGTGTGCCCTGCCTACATGGCACCATAGGGAGGTTAGTTTATTACCTGCTTGATGTATTCGTACTCCTCCAGGTGACCTCTGCAAATTGATTGCAGTTTCAGATTTTAATTCCATGCACACCTTTGTGGTTATTACCAACACAAGACATGTTTCATGCAAAGGCCTCTGGCTTGGCTGTTTCAAGCAAGACGCCTAATCAGAACGTTTTGCGGCTGGTGAAGCATGTAGAAGGTTACTTCTCTCTTCCTGATCTCCTTCCCTAGTTTTCCCAACTTTCTGCCCCAGCTTTGCCTATTAAGCCATTTGAGATGAGGGTGTCTTTCTGTTACTTTGTTACTGGTGGGATGGTGGCTGGATTTGCCATCCTGGGGGAAAGGATTGTAAGGGGATTAAATTCTGGAGAGTTATGCTGGCGTGGGTTTCCTTGTTTATTGAAGGCGTGATTTTCCAAAGGGAAAAGTGCCAGCTGAAAATGAAGAAAGCACAACCACAGGGAAGGTGAAGAAAGTAAAACCAAGGGTAGAAGTTATTTCTTAGGTTGTGAATCTTGTAAATTTGTCTGAAGAGTTAAATGCAGAGCTCTTGCTCAGAAAAAAAAGCCTGAACAACATGAACCAAGTAAGAGCTCAGTGTTCCACCTGTTGGTAGCCCAAACCAGCTTTCTCCTGAACAACTCCTGCACAACAAGCACTAAACATGTGTGTACTGTCATCATGCCACCTAAGAGAATAGATGCCCCCTAAAAAACGTACACTGATGTGTTTTCCAACATATGTAATGTTAATTCCATGATCACAAATAAATGGCCTGAATGAGACCATTTGGGTAAACATTCATTTCATTGCCTTTCTGTGACAGTGATATGAACTCAGTCACAGCCATGTGTTCTGTCCTGGAGAAAACAGGGAGAAGTAAAATAAAGGTGCTCTATTGACTCTCAGTGTGACAACCATATTTGAAACTGCTGCCAATCTCCTCAAGTCTGAAAGCATTTTGTTTCACTTTCTTGCATTTTTGTACTAAGAGTATTTAATTTTGCCTTATTTAAGTAAAATTTTAGAGACAAGTCTTTAGAGAAGGGAAAATTGTAGAAATGAGATTTTAAACAGAAGAAAAGATAACTTAATTTTTTTTTCTTCTGGCAAGATTGAGTGTCTATTACATGACACTAATTTTCTTTTGTAAGTTGTTAAGAACTGGAGGCAAAGAAGAGTATAATTATGCAGAGAGCTTCTTAATAGCTTTTGTATTCTGTTAACACATTTCTGATACGAATGCTGAGTCATTGAAAAGGAAAATTGCAGAATTATTTGCATATCTCCTAGAAGTTATCTTCTTGTTAAAATCAGGTAGCTGATTAACAAACATGGAAGATAATAGTGAACCTAGCATATAGGCTGCAGGGAACAATGCACAGTTAGAAGTTAACATCCATACAGAGAAGGTCTTTCTGCTTTATGCTTAGTGGAATAACCCTCTGTGCTTGGAAGATAGAATTTATTTGAACTTCAGTCAAACTCTTCTGGTGCTGCCAAGATTGACACAGATTGTAACCACCTCCAGTGGAGCCATGTGAGAGTGGAGTAGAGGGGGGAAATCTCCTCCCTCAGCCTGCTGGCCAATTCTCTTTCGATGCAGCACAGGATATGGCTGTAAGTGCACACTGACGTGTCCAGCTTTTCAACCAGCAGCACCCCAAGTCCTTCTCCACAGGGCTGCACTTTATATCCATTCTGTCTATCTGATGATCATTTTTAAGTAGCTGAGTCTGTTTGTGAAAATCTGAAGTTTCCCCGTACTCTTGGCATTTCTTGGAAATAAAATGTGTTGAAGACTTGTGGCCTTTGACATCTTCATCTTTGGGACTCAACTAGACAAGATTTTAATTTTGTTGATCTACTTTTGCCAGTAGTCCTGTTCCATGTGTGAGAGGACTAGAGACCCAAAGGTTCCTTTCAGCCACCCTTCCCAGGGTTTAGGTGGCAGGGCAGGTTGGAAATGAGACAGCAAATCTCAGCATAAAATTAGTTCACAATCTCAAAAAAAAAACCAAAACAAAAAAGCTATCTATCACCTCACCTGCTTAAAATATACAGGAAGAAGTCCAGGTGATGCCTTAAGTTTTAGCTTTCATATTTTTCAGATTCTGTGCTGCCTAGGTGTGTAGCTCTCAGCTTCATGTTAAGTGTTAGTGAGCTCTCTTCACAGCGTAGGTAGACAAAACAATTGCTTTTCCAGCTTGATACCAAGGACAATCATTACAGCTTTCAGCCCCAAAAGCACAAACTTTTGTTTTGTAGACTGAACAAAAGCACAAACTTTTTGTTTTGTGAAAACACAAAGTAGACTGAAGAGAGGAAACAAGGAGGATGTGACTTCATAATCAGAAGCTGTAACTGCACAATTAACCCAAATATGCAGATGGACCAAAACTTATAAAAGTGTGAGACCTCGTGACCAGTCATCCATTTTTTTGTGACCATTTTGGGTCCATAGTGGGTATAGCCCTGGCCAGGCTCTTGTACTGCCCAAGGTGTGTCCTTTAAGGCCTTTTAATAAATACCTACTTTATTCTTATTTATTCTACTCTGTCTAACCTCTCTTCTAGGTCATCCAGGCATCACAGGTCCTAGGAAGATTGGGACTAAGGAACTGGATTGCCTGCTACCTCTAGGATTCACCAGTGTGGCATGAAATACCCTCTTTGCCACAGTTTGTGGTGGATGCTTACGGTTTAGACTTGTAAGAAAAAAAGAGTTGCAAGGTAAGAAACCATAGGTGGCCTTAAGGGCATGAAAACTCCCACTTTAACAGGTTCCTTCAGGCTGCTGAAGTCAGGAAGGTGATAACATGGGAAGTCTGGGTATGTATTTGCTCCAGTTGTCTTTTGGCCATTGTTGATGGCCTCTTGGAGAGTGGAGGCTGGTGAGAGGGATGCTGTGGTAACACATAACCTGTAGTTAATGTCCTCTTGCAGGCCCCAGTCATTTGGGGGAGGATGTTAAATCCACTGTAGCAGCAGGACAGTGCACTGATGGGTCTGCACTGCTGCAAGTGGTCTAGAAGGGCACAAGTGCTTGGGCACATCCCAGATGCACTCGTGCCATGTATTTGTGGGTCTCCTGCCAAAAGAACAGGAGTTTGTCTTTCCACCTGAGTAATTGCAGGGGTGAGACCAAGCAACATAGCACAGGACAATCAAAAATGCTTCTGAGCTGCTTTTCGGCACACCAGTCTGGGGTGGCACTGCTGAAAGCCTCTTTCCTAAGCTACTGGGGGTCTCCTGCCTCCTGTGAGACTGGAATGCCCTGGAAATGGTTTGGCATGCACTTACTGGCTGATTCTGCTGACTTGAACCTGCACAGCAGCAGGGCAGAGATGAACAGAGGGGGAAGAGCTGATTTTTATAACGTTTTAGTCTCCCTGACTAAGATTCCTACAGGGAAGAAGTCAGCAGCACTGAGCAGACCAATAGACTTTTGGTGTAAGTCTGGGTTTGTTGTGTGTAGGAAATTGGTTCCAGTAGACCAGCTCCCTGACCGTGTCCTGAGTGTGAGCTGTGGCATCACCTCTAATTTTGGTAGATTCCTCCAGGCTGTTTCCATAGAGGCTGGGTTCGAAGGTTCACAGAAAGATGTGGAGGAAGCTCCTCATCTCATACATTCCCTCACCATCCTGTCAGTGGCATTCCCACCTCCACACCACTAAGAGATTGCTCTGGGGGTCCTATCTGTCACACACAGCCCATGAATCATTCCCTTCAGTTGTGCTCCTACGTTTGCAATCCCACGTAGTCCCAAAGACAGGATCCAGGCCTCAGGGATTCAATTATTTACACTCCACTCAGTCTTTCCATCCTTGATCCCTCTGTGCCCATTCATTTTGCTCCATCATGTGCTGTTCTCCGCTGTATCAGTCACAGATGGGCAATTTATCCTCTCCTGTTTCCCACATGAATCCCATCTATCACCTGCCTGTCTTTGAAATTAATTTACTGGCTGGCCAGCTGCCCACTTTGTGTCTGTGGCTGCTTCCCATCCATGTGTGATATGGGGGGTGCTCACTGAAGGGGGGTGGCTGCAGGTGCTGCAGTGTTCTGTGCCCTGAGGAGCATTGCTGCTCTGTGGGCTTTGGGACAGGACTGCTGCATGTGCTGTGGGACAGTGGGGAAAGGGCTGCCAGCAGGTAGCCACTCGTTCTTGGATCTGCTCATGCTGTCAGTCACTGTCACAGCACAAAGCAGCAGCCTCCTGCCTGGCAGAGAGATGTGTGTGTACTGCTGCAATGCTCAGGCTTGAACAAGGGCTTTAGTAGTCCCTGGAGCCTCCAGAAAGCTCCTGAAGGGTGTCCTTATGGGCAGAAATCAACATAGTTTTCTTTTTCCTCTCTCCTACAGAAGTTCTTTCCTGCTGTTGTTTTCAGCTCAGTTAAGCACATCTGTCAACTTGATCTGTCATGGACAGGTTTACAGGTGCTGGTTTGACTTCTGCTGTCTGTGTGCTAGTTCAAATGACTCATGGCAGAGCTGGGCCACCATCCTGCTGAAGGGGACACACACTTAGTCTTAGTGATTTGCCCAGGATCATAACCCCTTTGGAGGAAGGTGGCTGATCCCAGTGGCATTTCTTATGTAAAAAATTTTCTTAAAGAGCAGGAACTTTCAAGACAGGCTGTAAAAACTGCTTCTAACTGCTTAAGCTGTTAAAGGAGACAAGGTTAAAGGAACCTACCCAGAAGGCAGCTCACCTTTTTCTGGGTGCTAAGGCTAAACCCAAACCCCATAGATGACCTGCAGCTATAGAGGAACAGCCTGGCTGGAGGGTCAGCAGAAACTTTTTCCAGCTGTGAAAGGGCAGAGGGTGTCCCTGGGAGCAAAGTTCATCAGTACAGTGCTTGAAAGTTAATGGATCCAGCAATACTTGTCTTACTTCCATGTGAGAAGACACTTCAAAAAGTCAAAGGCATCTTCTTTAAGGCCCACCTATTTATCATAGAGTGGTTTCAGCCAGGGCAGTTCCTGTGCAGATCTGCTTTCAGTGACAGCCTCATACCCTCTTCACCCTCCAGGAAAAAGCTCTGTGAACTTTGTGATCACGTAAGAAATGTGGTCCCTG